AGAGAGTAACAAAAGCTGGCAGGAAATTGAGGCAAGTAACAAAATAAACAGATCAATCAATCGATCAATCAATCACTCTCTCTCTCTCTCTCTCTCTCTCTCTCTGCCTATATACTGAAACTACTGCTATGTTAGCTAGTGGAGGCTCTAATTTTGGTGAAATATTGGAGACCTATGTAGTATTTTAAAAATCCTCAGTTCTATTCAAAACATCACAAATGGTTTAGCTGGCAACTGTGTTTCTTTATCACATTGTTTACTTGGAGACTGGCAGGGTTTTTTTTTTTTTTTTTTTTGTGGGGGACATGCGTTATTGAATAACCACATACTCTGAGATGAGCTTTGTCTAATTGAGAATACCTAATGTAACTGTTAGTGTGCTTGTGACAGTGTTGCACTGTAGTGTCTGGTAGAAGTTTTCATTGGAATTTCCTTATGAGCAGTTTCTCTTTCCAGTTTTCCTACTTTTTTGAATTTAAAACCAAATAAAAAAGGGTAAATTGGGAGAAAGTGTATATCCTTAGGCAAATGCCCTATAAAATTGTAATAAAAAATATGTATAAAAGCATTACATGTATTTTGCAAAGCAAAGTGCCTCCTTGAACCTTATCAATAAGAAGTTGCATGGTCCTGTGAGTAATAGAAGGCTTGCTTGTTGGCTTTTTACCATCTCTGAGTATTTTCAGAAATAATTCAAGGTCAGCTGACCTCTGTCCACAGGCCAGAAAACTATTTCCCAAAGTCTTCAAGTGTTCTTTTTATTCGTAGATACTATCCTCACACATTACATATTTTCTCTCTGTATTTATAAAGTTTCTGGCCTCCGTTCTTACCTGGAGGGGGATTACCTCATGCAAGACAGAAGAAACTCTCTGACACTGAGCTCACTGAATGTTTTATTCATTCATCAGTGGGCTATGATTTGTCATCCCTCTCCATCAGAGAAAGGGAGAGAGAGGGAAAACAACAACCAGGAGTTCTGTTCTCTTGACCCATGGATTACAAGGGCTTAGCTGGTGACAAGTCCAGATGGCACAAGTCATGCCTTTAGGTGCTCCACTATTACAGCTCTCTTTAGAACCCCATTAAATGGAGATTTAACAGCAGAGCAGGCAGGGAGGAAAGGAGTATCTATGGAGTGAAGAGCCGAAGAGCCCATGCTGACTGGGGCTAGAACACTAAAAACTATTTGAATCTTTTTGAGTCTATTCTGTCTTTGAGCAAGACAGAAGGGATGACATTCTCCCTTTCACAGGCTCTACATTGTTTATATTTACCCCATGCTTCCATCTAGTTCCTTAATTGTTTCTGTCTGCTGTATAATTAATTTTGCTGTGTGTGAATCAATCAAGATGGTGGCATATAATTGGTCAGAGAATGATGTTACAATGTATTAGGCTTGGTCAGTAAAATTTCAGGAAAATGATTGGTTAAGCCAGTATAGCTAAGCAGAACTCTAGTTACTACATAAACTAAGTTCAAACAGGAAATGGGGGGAGGAAATTGGAATCATGTTTGCTAAGGGAGGGGATGGGAACAGGGATTAACCTGCAGTGTCAGAGCTGGGCACTACATCTACAAGGTTACTGACTGATTAATCTGATTATGTGGTCATATTATCTGGACTTTACAAGAGTGTACTGAAAGTCAGTGCTATTGCTGACTCTGCCGCTGATTGGTAGTATGACTCTCATCAAGTCATGCCCTCTCTCCATCAATTTAATAACAGTGAATCCAAAATTAAATTATAGGGGCTTTTATGTTGGGAATCTATCAACTCATCTATCTGAGAATTTATTTTTTTATGACAAAGGAAATAATTTCATAATTTAGCTATCACAAGATACCACAGAGATGGATGCAACATAAATACCTAGACAGAGATAAAGGAAAACATTTTCAAAACAGCACATAGGAGATATAATCAATCACTCCCAGGAAGCTATCACATGCCTACATTCTTTTGCCTTGCTTGAAAATATATGGGTCAAAATATGTGTGTGATTGAAAGATATTAATGATTAATGCACATTTTTTGTGCATTCATGTGCTTAGAGAAGACCATCCTATAAAACAAATTTGCAAATTTTATAACTGTAGCCAGGTCCTTGCCCAAGTGTGGTGTTCAACATCTATCAACTGGATAACAATTTTGTATACATGAGAAATAACTGCTGTTGATTAGGAATGTTAGAAATTGTGTAACTGAATAGTCATGTAACCGCATGACTACACTACTATTAGATAGTCCCTGGGGGTGGGCTAAGCAGCTAGTGTACTCCTGGCCCTACTCCCAGAAAGCACCCTGCCACCCTGTGTTCTTGCCTCTAATACAGAGGCAGCAGCATGGGGTGGCAGCAGCCTGTGTGTGCTGAGAGCTTGGACCTCACTCCCCGACAGGTGCTGCCGCTGCACATCAGCGTCTGTCTATGGCAAGCCCAGGAAGCTGTGGACAGAGTTGCTTTGTTGCAGCCTCCCTTGCTCCCTCTGTCCCTATGCTGCTGCCTCTGATGGGGGCAAAGCAGCACTGCAGGGCTGGTGGGGGAGTGGGTGGAGGAGAACCAGCTTTTAAGCCGGCTCCCCCCAGCACTGGCTCCTGACTGCCTTGCTGCCTCTGTAGGTGGATCTGGTACTCACAAGGAGATGGCATAAAGCCAGCTCCTCACAGGCACCTGCTCTCTCTCCCCCAGACTTATCGGTTAATCATGTAGTCGATTACCTGTTGAGATCCCTACTGTTGATGTTTGAGCTTTATCACACATACGGCAGGATACTTCTATGAAATATAGGCTAGTAGATTTCCTTTGCCCAAATTTACCAGTCACATCTGTATCTTGAAAGTTTCTTACTAAAAGAGGAACCAACGCCAAGTAAGACAAAGAATATGCTGATACACACATGTCACTCCAAGAATTCTCCTGACAAAGTTCCCACACCCAATTTAATTACTTCCCTACTGTAAAAACACTTTCCATCTGCATTTATTGTAATAGATTCAAATCCAAAACCAACACACTATAAAGCTAGCTAAATAAATGAATGATATTAGCCTTGAGTCCCAAGCCAGCAGCCATTCTATAAGGCAACATGTCTCCAGCATTCATTTTTATGCTGATGTTTCATTTTATGTGCAATGTTTTCATTTAAGATGTATTGGAGAAGAATTACCTTGCTCTAGACATTAAAACTTCAGGAGATATAGTAGTGCCCTCTAGCACACACTTGTCAAAGGTCTCTCTCAGATTCCATTCTAAGACCACAGTTGCATCTTATATCAAACTGGCACAAAATTTGCTTCTGGCTATATTCACATCATTAGAAACTCTCACACCAAGAGCATTCCCTTTCATTTAAACTATATCTGGCTTAAAAGAAGTTTCCTTATATAAGGAGGACATAGTATACATATTTTTTGTTCAAAATTTTCCTTTTTTTTTTTCAGTAAATTAAATTTTACCAGATTTACAGTTTAATTGTTCACAGTGTTTGTTGGTCATGGTTCAGAGAAAAAATACTTCTTAGATTTATTTTATATAGTAGATCAACAGAACTACAGTTCAACAGAACGTTCACAATAGTGTCAGGATTATGAAAGTATATTGGGTCATGAAGTACCCTTACACTTGTTACAATACAAGGCCCTGACCGACCAAAGCTGCTGAACATGTGGATAATTTCAAATATATAAAGAGTCCCATATATTCATGTGCTTAAAGGTAGGCTTATGTTCAAGTGCTCTGCAGACTCAGGACCCTAATGCTATTGAAAGTACTTATAAAGAGCTGTGAGGGTTTTTTTAAAACTGTAACTTAATTGTCAGTCAAAAATACTAATGGGAAGGATTATTTAATAGGAATCGAAGGTTCAAAGCAGCTCCCATTGAAATCAATAGCAAATTCCCCATGGACTTCTGTAGAAGTAAGATCAGGCCTCAGTCTGTTCAACTCCTACTGAACCCAATGGGAGCTATGCGTGTGCAACTGAATACTGTAATGTGAAAAGCAAATCAAACAAATTCTGACATGCCATAGAGCACTATTTACAACTATTCCATTGTCCATAGGCATTATTGGGTCCCAACCAACCACAGGCTTTGCAAACATTAAAGGTGCAATACTCAGATGTAAGAACAGTTATGTTTCAATAATTTTTAATTTCTTGGGGGTTGTGGTTTTTTGTGTTAACAGATTGTTAATGTTACTTTAGGTTTATTTTGTTTTTCTATTTGTATTAAACATTTTCCGCCTGTGAAACCGAAATATAGCTCATGTAAAAAAAAATAAAGGCAGCCTATAAAATATTTCATACCACAAATCTTAGACAAAACAATGTCCTGTCTCTTAAAAATTGAATAAGTACCAAATATGTACATGCTGGATGGCACATTTGCAGTAATTATTGCATCACTTGTCCAAAATATAGACAGAACTAGTGACTTCATTTAAGTTAAATTAATTTCCTTTTCCACTTAGACATACAATTAGGAATCACTGCATTTTAATACATCCTTTTGGAAGAAGGAATGTCATTTTTCTAAGATATAGACATTAGCATATTTTGCACAAGTAAAATAATAAAAACACACCCCACTGATAAAAGAGTCATTGACCAAATAAAAACTGATGTGCTGACACTAAAAGTAAAAGGAAACTAAATGAATGACAACAATCAGGTGCGGAAAGAGATGGAAACAAAATAACTTATCTACCAACTTTATTTATTGTTTTAAATGGGATTAGCTTCTAAACTGAAGGTGACAAATCACTGTTAATATACTATCAAAACTCTCTCCATCCCTCCCTTCCCTGCTCTATCCCCCAATTTCAATTTTTATCAGTAACTGCAGAAAACAATACAACCTCTGGGATGAAATACATTTAAAGTAATCTAGCCAGACTCATTAACTCTCAATACTAATCTCTCAAGCCCTTTCTACATAGCTTCAGTATTACTTCACATAATCATGTTCTTCTCATCAAGTATTTTTTTAGTTACTGTACCTGGAATTCTGAACCTCTGAAACATCTGATTCTGTGCACGTTTTCTTTACCTGCAAAAACAAAATCATTATCATCAGTTACTCTCATATGAAAACACAACTTCTTCACTCATAGTTCATGCACTTACACCACTTAAAATGGATACAGCTCTGCTCACCATAGTATCTATAAAATACTTCCCGCATTTTACAGCAGCAGTATGCAGTACTAAACAGTGTGTTTCATTATTATCCCATGAACAGCTGCCAACTGCACTTCCCTAGGCTCCATTAGTATGTAAAATGTTCAACTAAAATAGCTTGGGAGTAGTCTAACTAAGAACAAAGAAACCAAAGAACCAGGTTCCCCACTTAGAAACTAGAAAGCCATACTGTTCTCCGTTCAGAAAAGAAATGTTTTCCCAATTGATACTGCTTCTGTTTCCTGCTAAAAGTCACAATAATAAACACCAGATTCTGGGGCAAAGTGCAGTGTTAGCTAAATAATTCATACCATTAATTTTCATTTTCTGAATCTAGTAACTAAGGGTACGTCTAGACTACAAGCCTTTTTCGAAAGAGGCTTTTTTGAAATAATCTTTTGAAAAAGCCTCTTTCGAAAGAGAGTATCTAGACAGCAACCAGTATTCTTAAAAAGGAAAGCTGCTTTTTCGAAAGAGAGCACCCAGGCAGTCTGGATGCTTTCTTTCAAAAAAAGAACTGTTTGAGTTCGATAACGCCTTTTTTCGAAAGAGCATTTTTGAAAAAAGGCATTATACCTCCTAAAATGAGGTTTTCTGCAGTTGAAAAAACTGCCGCGTTCTTTTGATTTAATTTTGAAAGAATGCAGCAGTGGTCTAGACGCAAGTCAAGTTTTTTTGAAAAAAACCTGTAATCTAGACACACCCTATATGTTTAAATTATGTTCATAAAGTGTCAATGAAGATTTTCACACATTTGAAATATACAATTATATATATTCTATTTCAACCTTCAAATTCATCTTTGTGAAATACTGCCATTAGCCAGCAAAAGGAGAAAAAAAAAAACCACCCCACTTCTAAGACTATAAACTACTCTTTTCCAGACCCTCTATAGTGTTGGGTATAGTTTGGGTTCTGGAGTAGTGCAATTTGCACCTTTAAGTCATTTGAATTTCAGTAACTTTCTGAGAGACTTTTTGTTGAATATGCAACCTACTGAGTTCGTTTCTTCTATTAAGACCATCTAAACCTATTTACAGATACTCTGGCTTACTTAGTATCACTTATACTTACTGAACACTCCCCTTGTAGCCAATAAACGTTCAAATTCTGAGCATTTTCAATTATAGTACCTTGGATCAAAAGATTCATCTATTGTTAAACCCTCCTTTTGTTACACTGTTTTAAAAAGTATTTCTGTGACATGGTGGGATTTTCAAACACACTCAACTCTGCCAAACATTTCCCATCAAAGTCAATGGCAGAGCTTCTATTGACCAGCGAGTTAGGTCAATACTGAGCCCTTTTAAAAATGCCAGCTTTCATGGCTTGAATGGATATCATGCAAAACTACAGGCAGTCCCCGAGTTACGTGGATCCGACTTATGTCGGATCCGCAGTTATGAACGGGGCCCGTCTCCCTGGTCTCCAGCAGACCAGGGAGAGGAAGCAAAGCGGCGGAGCATGCGGGCAGCAGACAGCCCAGATGCGTCTGGGCTGTCCGCTGCCCGCGTGCTCCTTGGCTTTGCTCTGCTTTGCTCCCCGTCTCCCTGGTCTGCAGACCAGGGGGACGGGGAGCAAAGCAGAG